GACCAGCCATGGTCACCCTGACGCGCCTCTGAGAGCCCCCCAGCAGGGAGCGGACACCGCTGCGGACCCCCAGGCCCCGCAGCCAAGGGCTGGGCACAGCCGCTCTCCCGTCCCGCCATGCTCACCACCAGCGCCCGGATGCGGATGCTGTCCCTCTCGCTGTGCTTGTAGATCTCCTTCAGCAGGCTGACGCCGTTGGTGGTGATGAAGGACGCGCGCTTGGCCTTGTCGGCAGCGTGGATCAGCGCCTCCACCGCTACCAGCTGGTGGGCCTCGCAGACGGAGGCGCAGAGGGACAGCACGCCGTCCATGATCCCCTCCAGCTCCAGCACCCTGTTCCCGGCATCTGCGGCGGGCACGCCACTGCCTGGATGGCCCGCAGCTCCCCCGCCAGCTCGTGGCCCTCGAACCAGCTCCTGCAGGGGAAGACCGATGGGAAGAGTAAGGCTGGTCCCAGCCACCACCTTCAGCCCCACACGCTGAGCCCCAGCCCCGCAGGTCTCTGGTGGGTCGGCAATCTGCTCTTATCACAAAGAGCAAACAGGTCTGGGGATTGGGGTGCTGCCACTTCCCCAGAAGGCTGCTGGCTGTATGAAACTGAACCCCCCCTCCACACCCAGGGACACCCAGGCTGACCTCACGTAGTCCTCACACAAGCGGTGGAAGTTCTCCCTCTCAGCATCGCATTTCAGGTCATCGTAAAGTTTGCTCAGCAGAACCGAGGCGCTCATCCGACTGTTCTCCGTCACGGGCAGGCTGCCCGGGGCGCCGCACACTGTACTTCCCACCTCCAGGATCTTCTTCAGGCCTGGAAGGACGCAGAGGTCAGACATCCGGCGAGGGGCAAAGCGGGGTGCGCAGGCAGCGCCGAGGGGCTCAGCACCCCGAGGCAGAGGGGCGTGATGCCCCAGCACGACGTCGCAGGCTGCTCTGCTCACCCTGGTCGATCACCCAGAGGCTCATGCTGTTGTTGGTCTCCTTCGGCGACTTCCTGGGCACCACCTTGATGAGCAGGTTGAGGGCATTGTCACGGCCGTGCGCAGAGGCCCCTTCCAGTGCCAGCAGCTCCAGAAGGTGATTGATCAGCAGTTTCAGGTCCTTAGAGGAATCTTCCGGAAGAGATGGTGCCCAGCAGTCAGCGCCCCCGGCACAGGCCTCACCCCCACTGCAGTAAGGCTGGCAGGAGATGCTGCCATAACCAGGGGCTCCTGCCCCCCCGCCCTTCCCCCTGCCATCTCTC